CTATGCATTCTAAAATATTTATAGCAGCTCTCTTTGTGGTAGCAAAGAACTGGAAATTGAATGGATGCCCATTAATTGGGGAATGGCTAAACAAGTTGTGGTATATGATTCTGATGAAATATTACTGTGTCATAAGAAATGATGAGCAGGTTAATTTTAGGAAAACATGGAATGACTTGCATGAAATAATGAAGAGTGAAATGAGCAGGACCAAGAGAATATTGTATATAGTAACTACAATATTGTTCGAAAAATAACTGTAAATGACTGTTATTCTGAGCATTATAAATACTCAAATCAACTACAAAAGACATATGAAGGAAAATGCTATACAACTACAGAGAAAGAGTTGATAAAAAGAAGTATGCACAACATGTTTTTACATATATGAAAAATACATACACACACAAATATATACATACATATATATGTGTGTGTATATAAGTGTTAAATGGTGGCCTTTTCTAGTGCAGTGTGGGGAGGGAGGGAGACAGTTTGGAACTTATATCAGAACAAAAAAATAAATAAAATTGAATTTGAAAAAGAAACTAAACAATCTAATCCTAAAGAACGAGTGGGTCAAAGAACACAACGACAATGATAAGACAACATTCAAAGATTTGTGGGATGCAACCAAAGCAGTACATGGGGGAAAACACATATTTCTAAATGCTTATTTCAAAAACAGAGAAAAAGCAGAGAAATAAATTGGGCTTGCAACTAAAGAAAGTAGAAAAGGAACAAATTAAAAGTCCTCAATTAAACACCAAAATGGAATTCTTGAAAATCAAAAGAAAGATTGATAAAATTGAAAGTTAAAAAAAACTTCAACATTGAACTACAAATAAAACTTCAAGCTGGTTTTGTGAAAGACCAATAAAATAGATAATTTGGTTAATTTGATTAAAAAAAGATGAAGAAAACCAAATTATTAGTATCAAAAGTAAAAAGAGTGGATGTACCACCAATGAAGATGAAATTAAAGCAATTATTAGAAGTTATTTTGCCCAATTATATGCCAACAACACTGACAATCTAAGTGAAATGGATGAATATTTATAAAAATATAAACTTCCCAGACTGACAGAAATGAAATAGAATACTTAAATAATCATATCTTAGAAAAAGAAATTGAATAATCCATAAATGAGCTCCCTAAGAAAAAATTCCCAGGAACAGATGGGTTTACAATTGAGTTTTACCAAACATTTAAGGAACAATTAATCCCAATGTTATGTAAAATATTTTGCAAAAATATGTAACGGAGTCCTACCAAATTCCTTTTATGACACAAATATGGTTTTGATACCTAAACCAGGGAAAGTGAAAAACAGAGAAAGAAAACTTTAGACCAGGGGTGGGGAACCTGTGGCCTTGAGGCCACATGTGGCCCTCTAGGTCCTCAAGTGTGGCCCTTTGACTGAATCCAAACTTTCCCGTTATAGAAGGATTTGTTCTGTAAAACTTGGACTCAGTCAAAAGGCTGTACTCAAGGACTTGGAAAGCCACATATGACCTCCAGGCCACAGGTTCTCCACCCCTGCTATAGATCAATTTCCTTAATCAATAGTAATGAAAAAATTTTAAATAAAATACTAGCAAGGAGATTACAGTAATATATCACAAAGATCATAAACTATGACCAGGTGGGATTTATACCAGGAATTGCAGAGCTGGTTCAATATTAGGAAAACTATCAACATAATTGGTCAAATCAATAACAGAAACAATATGATTGTATCAATAGATGCAGAAAAAGCCTTTGACAGAATACAACACCAAATCTTATTAAAAACACAAGAAAGCATAGGAGTCAATGGAGCCTTTCTTAAAATGACAAGTAGTACCTATCTAAAATCAAAAGCAAGCATTATCTATAATGGGGATAAACTTGAAATCTTCCCAATAAGATCAGGGGTAAAGCATTTTCACCACTATTATTTAATATTGTACTTGCACTGAATACCAAGATAAGATCAAAATGGGTAAATGATTTAAATATAAAGTGTGATATAAATACATTAGGGAGAATGGCAAAATGTACTTGTCATATCTATGGATAAGGACCAAACAAGAGATAGAGAGGATCACAGGAAGTAAAATGGATAATTTTGACTACATAAAATTAAAAAGCTTTTGCACAAACAAAATTAACATAGCCCAAATTAGAAGGAAAGTAGGAAACTGGGGGGAAAATTTTCACAGCATGTTTCCCTGAACAAAATCTCATTTTTTTCAGATATATAGGGAACTGAGCCAAGTTTATGAAAATAAGAACCATACCCCAGTAGATAAATGGTCAAAGGATTTGAACAGGCAGTTTTCAGAAGAAGAAATCAAAAAATGCTCTAAATCACTATTGATTAGAGAAACATAAAATAAAACAACTCTGAGATACTACATCATACCTCGCAAATTTGCAAACATAACAGAAAAGGGAAATGGCAAATGCTAGAGGGGATGTAGAAAAAATTGGGACACTAATGTAATGTAAAACGATCCAACCATTCTGGAGAGCAATTTGGAACTATGCCCAAGGGCTATAAAACTGTGCATACCCTTTGACCCAAGAATACCACTAATGGGTTTGTATCCCAAAGAGATCAAAATAAAGGGAAAAGGTCCTACGTGCACAAAAATATTTCTAGCAGCTCTTTTTTGTGGTGACAAAAAATTAGAAATTGAGAGGATGTCCATCAACTGGGGAATGGCTGAACAAATTGTGGTATATGACTGTATGGAATACTGTTGTGGTATAAGAAATGATGAGCAGGATATTTTCGGAAAAAAACTGGGAAAACTTAGACTTAGCTATTCTAATCAAGACAATGACTCAAGACAATTCCAAAAAACCCATGATGAAAAATGCTATCCACCTCCAGAGAGAGAATTGATAAATTCTGAAGGAAAATTGAAGCACACCTTTTTTACTTTCTTTATTTTTCTTGGGTTCTTTTTTTTTTTTTTTGCCTGTGTTTTCTTTCGCAACATGTCTAATATGGAAATGTTTTGTATGACTTTGCATATATAATTGGTATCAAATTGTGTGCCTTCTCAAGGAAGGTGGAGGAGAGGGAAGAAGGAGAGAATTAGGAACGCAAAATTTTTTTAAATGAATGCTAAATTTTTTTTACATTTATTTGGGAAATATTTAATGAAATAAAACATTTTAAAATAATTATAAAAATAGAAATAAAATTTGTATCTTATTCAGTTTTGTGAATTATTTTCACTTTTAGTACTAGTAATTTGGCTTTCCTCTTATTTTTAATTGAATTAGCTAATGACTTATTTTTCATAACTCCTAGTTTTATTCATTAAATCTTTTTTTTTTTGCTTTCAATTTTATTAATCTCTTCTTTGATTTTCAGGATTTCTAGATTGCATGTCCAGTTTGTTAGTCTATTCTTTCTCTCCGCTTGCTGGTAAAAGTATTTGGAGAATAAAATTTCCCGTAAGGATTGCTTTGTCTGCATTCCCTAAATTTTGGTAAATTATCTCATTGTTGTCATTATTTTAATGAAATAATTTGTAATTTCCATGATTTGTTGATCTTTGATCCACTAATTCCTTAGGATTAAGTTATTTCGTTTCCAGTTAATTTTTAATCCTTTCTTCAATGGCCCTTTGTTTAATGTAATTTTTATTGCACTGTGGTCAGTACAAACTGTGTTCAATATTTCTGCTTTCCTGCATTTACTTGTGAGGTCTTTCTGCCTAATCCATGGTCAATTTTTCTAAAGGTGCCACGTACAGCTGAGAAATACGTTTGTCACTTTCTCTTTTCATTCACAAACAGCCAGGACACTATCATATTTAACTTCCCTGAAATTCTGTTCAGATCCTTAACATCTTTCTTTTCTATTTTTTGGTTAGACCAGTCTAGGTTTAAAAGGGAGGAAACAGGAATTCTGAAGGGTCAGTGAAGGCTTGCAGTAAAAGATGGGATTTTCGTTGAGACTTATAGGAAGCCAGGGAGGTGAGTAGGCAGAGCACAGGAGGGAGAGCATCAGGCAGCAGATAGTCCAATAAATAAAATAACTAGAACCAAGTTTGTTGAACAGCCAGGAGGTCGGTGTCACTGGATCACAGGGTACGTGTCTGGGTGTAAGGGGTAAGAAGACTCAGAAGGTAGGAGGAGAACAGGTTATGGAGGGCTTTGAGAATCAAACAGAGTATTTTGTATTTGATCCTGGAAGTGACAGGGAGCCACTGAAGTTTATTGAATGAGGAAGTGACATTGTCAGACCTGTATTTTAAGAAAATCACTTTAATGGCTGAATAGAGCACAGGTTGGAGTGAGGACTGATGAGGCAGGCAGACCCATCAGCAGTCTATGGCAATAATGCAGGCATGAGATGTTGAGGGCCTATTCTTGAGCGTCAGAGAAGGGTGGCATATTGGAGAGACACTGCAAAGGTGAAATGGCCGGGTCTTGGCAACAG